ATTTTCCTCTGAAATACAAATTGCCTATCTTTTTCATGACAGTGGAGTTATTCTTACAAATCATACATAATCGGTATATTTATTGGCCAGGTTAAGTAAAAATATTGCAAATTCATGGCAAAAAATTGCAATTTTATCGCATCACATCACTATTTTATTTCAATAATTTTTGCCCCATGCTTTTCGAGTATAAGCGATTTCCTTCTCGGTGTAGACATATTTTCCTGTTAATTCAGGAGAAATTTCCTCTTGGCGGCTAATTTAAGAATATTTCTACGGAAATCAAGCCACCACTGGAAAAAAAAACAGATTGGATCTAGAGTCCAGACTCTTGAAAACATTGACAAGAAAAAATACTCTTGATTCAATCGGATTTTTGCTTGAATCAAAACGAAATCCGCTTAAATTAAGAGGCTTGGTTCTTGATTTAAGCTAGATTCTGATTGAATCAAGAGTACTTTTTCTTGTCGATGTTTTTAAGAGTCTGGACTCTAGATCCAATGTGTTTTTTTCCCAGTGACTTCTCAGTGTGTATATTTCTCAACTTTGTCCAAAAACCTATCCTTTTGTTTCTTCCTCGGGTAAGAATCCGAGAGGATAAAAAAGAGTTTTTGCGGGAACTGGTAACCTGGTTAGTCTCTAAGTCTCCGTAATAACGCCACAAAACTCCGGAAGTGATGGCCAGTGCTCAGCATTAATCGCTAGCCAGCCGTGTTTAATTACTTGCGCTTAGATGTGCGTCTGCGTTTAAATCGGCATACATCTTCTTTCTCATAATAATATTCCAACGCGCTCCTCCGCACCGCGCGCCGTTTTCTTCCTCGCTCGGTTGTCTGTTATTAAAACTTAATAGGCCGGGACTTTAAACCGTCTCCTGAATCCCTCATGGCTTGCAATGAATTTGTCAGGTCTAGAACGACTCAACTTTAAAACAAGCGGGAAAGTTCTAATACTGTCGTATCAGAAAAGCGCTCAGGTGTTTGTCAATGTATTTAGTGAAGAAAGGAAGTATAAACTCCGTCGACTTGGCTGGGGAATGTAAATAAAACATCAGCTGATAGCAAACAAAGGTTACCAAGGAAACCGTAAACACGTATTTTTGTTTCCCGAAAATGAGCTCACCGTTGAGCTTATCAAGCGCGTTTTTTTTAGGCTTCATTTGAGTTCAACGATCCATTTCGATAAGAATCACTCTACCACTAAGAAATTTTCTTATGGACAAACGATCGAAACTACCTGCGCATTACGTTAAAAGCATAAAATACAGTTTTCACAGCTTTATTTATTTTAAAAATGGACCCCCCCAAAAAGCCTACACATCGATGAGCTGGTGCGCCATTTAAACGCATTAGCACTAGTGTACTAGTACTCAGAGGCAAGTCGAAATCAAAAAGCGCTGCCTATCGGCTGAGCGCTTGAAATCATAAAATTCAAAAATAAAAGAACAAGACTAGAGTGCTGATTATGTTGCCTACAATGTGAATAGACACTTCATTCTTAAAAACATGGCAGGAACAGGCACACTTAGAAGGCCGTGCAGTGAATTCCGTGACTTCAGTTGCGGGTTGAGATCGGACAGGCAACTAAACTAACATCGTGACAAAGCGTAGAGTATCATAAAAAATGAAGGCGCTTCAAGTCGAGCTCATATTTTTGAAGGCCATAACCCTTAAAAATTGCATTATGCCGATGCGCAATATTGCGATTTATTGAAACAACGTGTGAACCGCTTGCAAATTGCCGGCGATTGCTAATTGTCTGCTACATATACCTACAAACTCAGAAAGAGATATTTTTAGATGGTTCGATGTTATTGATGCACGCCAAATAGGTGATTCCAAACAAAGATACAGCATGCAGAGAGTTTTTTAAAAGTTCATCGAGGTTTTTAAAGTGATTCTAAGTGATCTAGGGATGAGATCCGCCATTACATTGCGCTACTAAACGGTTTTTGTCTTTGAGAAGCAACACTTATCATGAAGTACACTTCATTCAAGAAACTGATCAATAATGTGTAGAAGCATTAATACTATGAAGTATGACACCTTTGTGAATTTTTGTTGAACGTTTAAACCGGAAACTACCCTAACAGACGTTGCTCGTTGACTCAGTGTGAAAGAGAGAGATAATCAGCAATCGCCGGCATTTAATAAGCTACACGCATGCCAACTCGTCAAATTACTATAATACGCATCGATATAGTGAATAATTATTTGCTGATTCGTGAGCAAACTTCAAAAGCACGACTTTGGATTGGAGCGCCTTCAAATCCCGGTGATAATTTTCGATACACGAGTCTCGATTGCTATGTTCCCAACTTTGCTGTTGTCTTATTAGATCAAGTAACCAACGATGTGCGATTTTTTCCAAAATTTTCACAGAATATTCTGGTCGAGGTAAAGAAAATTCAGTTAAACCTTAAACAAATATCATTTGTTGGTTTTCTGCTGAAAAAAAGAATGAGATAGGAAATTTTGAAGGTTGCAAACTGAGGCACGTATTTTGCGTGATGAAACCGAGCTTAAGACTTCACAGAACATTTTTTTCCCCGTTCAACCATCTGCCTTAACGAAGTTTCTTCAATCTGACAACGCTGCATGTGAAAGCCCTGCTGCCAAAACCAAAGTGCAAATTCTAGAGACTTTTAAAAAAGACCCTACATAACGCCAACTGTCTCTCTTGTCATTATTATTATCAATTATACAATTTGTTTCTCGTCGTGAATTTTAGTCAGAGTTCCAGCACACTATACCCTTGAGAGTAAACGCAACAGTAGAATGGCTTAAATCACTGTCAAAATCGACCTAACTCCATTTTACATTTTGCTGTTTTTTCCTGTACCTAATTGAATTTTCTATGCTACCAAGCTTCGCTTGCGATATTTTTTCCCCAGAAATGTTAGGCTTGTTTTATGCCGTGCTGAGGAAAAACGCTGTATGAACTTACGAAAGTTGTATTATTTCTTCTGATAAAATGTGTGTTTTTGAGGAGTGGTATGATCATTTTTCTTGAAATTTTCGGGTGATTCATATCTGATTACGAATAAAACTCTCCGAAAAATATTCACAAATTGCCATCAAAATTCGTACTTCATTGAAGGAAATTTGGCAGCGTCTACAGGCTCATACAACGTTTATCCTTAGCACAGCAGCTTTCCTTTAAATTTTTAGATGCACTAGATTCGATAACCTTATAAAAAAAGAAAAAATATGCAAGAGAAATTTTTTAAAACAAATATATTCGAAAAAATTTACAATAAAATTGGCAACGTGTATACAGCTTTTCCCCTAGCACCGCAAAATGAGAATATAGAGAAAATCCCGGCAACCGCGACGGCCCCATTTGGTTTGAGAAAGAACCTCCACGCTCAACTTTAATACAATTAAAAACTAACAATCCTCTACCTCTATGCCGGGCTGCACCATGCGCCTGTGTTTTCTTGGTACCGTAGGATAAAAATTATTCCAGCGCTCTTATATTTATTCCAGCTTCGTATCATATCATATCCATCGTACCCGGCCAGTTTTTTAAGTTCGTCTCGCTTTTTTTACGAGCTCTCGCGGTCTCAAGTTTTCAGCGAATCGTAAAAAAGGCTGTTACGGTTACGTAAAGTTGCGAAAAGACATACCTCCATTTTCACGTTAACTGTGGACATCTTGGAGAGATACGCGCAAGAGAGCTCATCTGAAAATACAGTTAACGTTTTCTTCCCTAGAGCGCTCTTAAAATGAGTAGCAATAACTATGTAGAGCGATGGTAGTCAGTGACTGCAGTCTAGGCTCCGTTCAGACGCAAATCGCGAAAATCAACTAAACCACTCTCCGAAACAATGCCGATGACTCACTCATTGACTCCCTGAAAAAATCTGTTGAAATGCGACAATTAAAGGAAAAAATTGACCAAAAAACTCAGTTTTACACACAGTTTTGTGTTATCGATGGTAAAACAATGAGGCTACGTATAGGTATCTCAGTTGGGGAGAGCCGGATGGAAAAATAGGCACTTTTCCGATGGGCGAAAATTTGCACTGATTGATTTTAATGATATTTTTCGCCTGTTTCAGAGACTTGATATACGAGGTAGGATAAAAGTGCTCCATGGACAAAATCGAAAAACAGAAGAACCTCCTTTAGCTTTATTTGCCGTTTGTACCCCTTTTGGTCCTCCTTCGCTCCTAGAAACACCACACAAAGAAGTTATGTTCAAAAGCAAACACAAACTAGACCTATCACTTGTTTCAATGGATCAAAGGTGAGTTTTCTTCTTATTAGTAATATACATTTTCAATACCCACATCAAGGACACCCTTCATGGGCAAGGGGCTCATTGAAGGGGTTCATTGAATACGTGACGCTAAAATTTGGATTTTTTTACCCACTTCTTCCTTATCCCCTCACCGCAGGTCTGTTGCCCCCTACGTAAATTCATAGCTATTTCGTTTGACTTCCCCCTTTAAAACTTTTAGGTGCATTATTTTGAGAAAATCGAAATTTTGTTCTCTAAATCAATTATGAATAATCATTTGTGCCGAACATGATCTTCCAAAATTATAAAGTCATAAGTACTTTTCCCAATGAGCCATCGATATCGATGTATAGAAATCGGTTGCAAAATAAGGACAATGCTTTTGTCTTCCTTTTAATATTTTAGAAGATGATATTCGGCATGAACATTCCTAAACAATTGATCCAGCGATTAAAATTCAGTTCTTCCCAAAATAATTCACATAAAGGTCAAAATAACTTGGAATAGATCGATGATGATGTGAATACATCGCGCAGAAGCTGAAGATCCACTTTTAAAGGAAAAAGCAGAGAGAGGAAACAAAAAATAAAAGTAAAAACAATTTTAGTAGATTATTATTAAAATCAAGCACAATGGATAAGCAATGAAATGCAAGAAATTGACTCCTTGTAAAAAAGTAAAAGAATAGGTACAGTAGCGTCAAACATTACATAATGCGGCCTCC